TTATTTTTGTCGCTAAAATAGCCGGTTAGAGCAGCTCGTGAAAATTTACTTTGAATCGGACCGCGGCCCTGGTAAGAAGTGTATCAAATGTGATTGACAATGGGTGCTTTCCAGCAAGGACACAATCAAACACAGTGTAAGGGTCCGCGCACAAAGATGGTCGCAACTGAGTCGTAAAATCCTTGTGCGTTGACCTACGACAACGACTTACGATTACGACTCAGTTGCGATCATCTTTGTGCGCGGACCCTTACACAGTGAATCGTTATGAGAGAGAGGGACCGTGGGAGACGGCCAATCTCTCCCTCATTCTCTCTCCCATCATACCATTGAATAGAAAGAGATAGAAATGGCCGTCTGCGGGGTGATCCCGATTGACCACGGCTCGATTGGACACCATCAATCAGCGACCGGTGCTTAGGAGCTTAGTAGTCTCAAGCGCTGTGAGTGGCTCGTGTCCAATTGAGCCGTGTCCAACTGGGTGCCACCCCCGTCTGCCACGGTCCCTCTCTCTCATCCCTATCGACCATTTTCACACACGGATCGCGCAGTCCATTCTCTATTAACGTTTTCGGCCCGATCGGGTTTGCACCAAGCTTGGTTGGATTAATCTTTCCTATTGGTTGACGTCACCCGCTCTACGGCGTCGTCTACAATACACGGAGTAAGAAGTAAGAGTAAGAAATTGATCAATCACAGTCGATTATTCTTCTCACATTCGACTGTGATTGGTCAATTTCTTAAGGTAAATGTTCACGAGCTGCTCGAACCGGTTGTTTCAGCGACAAAAAGGATCACGTGATCAAAATGGACGCTTGATATTCGTCAATTTTTACCACGCGATCCTTTTTGTCGCTGAAACAGCCGGTTTGAGCAGCTCGTGAAAATTTATCTTTACTCTTACTTCTTAAGGTGCCTTTTCACGCTGAAAATGAGCGTCTAGCATCAGCGTGAAATCGCACCTTTACTCCGTGTATTGTAGACGACGCCTACCAATAGAAGAACACAAAACGCCATTAATCCAACCCAGGTTGGTGCAAACCTGGCTGGGCCGAAAACGCTATATAAATACCGGCCTCATTAGAGAGTTACTAGTACTTTTATCAAATGCACGATGTAAACTAGGCTACTTTTCATTTTTCATCTCGGGAAGAAGGTTTTATGATTGATACTCGGATGTGCAAAAAGTGAATCTTTCATTATATCCAATTATTTTTACGTTTGTATAATTATTTTTTATACGGCTATTGTCAATTACGTTTTTTTTTTAACTTTTATTTCGTTTAAAGCGTTAAAACGTGGACGGGATAATTCCTTGACCGGACAAAACCTCCGGTTGTAAAAATTATTATTTCAAGTCGTTTGTATTTCGTATGAAGAGTTTTGAAGTGCAAATAAAAAGGTTTGTGAGTCATTGTATTAATTACAATTAATCATTCTTTTGTGGACCATGTACTTGACCGAAATAATTAACCGGATTTAAATTCAACAAAGTTTAAACATGGAATCGTTTGTATTTCGTATGAAGAGTTATGAAGTACCATTAAAAACGTTTGTGAGTCATCCAGACATTTTTAATTAAATATTAAAATATCATGTATTTGACCGAATTGTAGAGAGATATAGGACGGGATAGCCTTGCTTCGATTTCCATGTGAGTGGATATCGACACTATCGACACTTCCGGAATTGCGCGCACTTGCGCATGGCGGTCCTTCCGCAGGACAAGCAGGCGGTGCAACGTGGCGCGTTGAGTTTAGTTTTGCTTCGATTGCCGGTCTGACGTTCACGTCGTGCACACCACACGCACGCACACAGAGCCCAATAAAGAGCGAGGAAAAGCGGTGCTGGCTGCGCTGTTGGGCACTAGTTGGTGCCTTGGTGCATCAGGGAAGGGGGCCCCTGCGGTCACGTGACCGAGCTGCGTTTTGAGCGCACTAACCCAGGTACGATAGCGAATCTGTTGTTTTTCTCGTGGTTTTTCGCGCGCCGCGGCCCCAAGTGCCGAGGTGCCGTGAATCCCGCACGCTTCCGCTCCCCGTCGCGCCTGCCGAGGCATCCGCACAACGTCCACGACAGCCGTGAGTTACACGCAAAGATTCTTTCGCCTCTCGGCCATTCCGAGACTCGGTCGGGATCCATTGATGCACCGCCGCGGCGATGCTTGACAAGCCTTCCTCTCGCATTGCAGAAATGGCGTCCACCGTGCACATGGCCTGCTGAAAAGTATTCTCGTCCACGAGAGTAATCGCGCGTTCTTACCAGAAGCTTCTTTGTGCGCGTGTCGCTTCTTGGCTTGGCGTGAGCTGCTAGGCTGCTACCCTTCCGTACCGCCTCTTTTTCTTTCTCTCTCTCTTTCCTCTTTCTCTTGACTCTCTTCCTCCCTCTCTTATTTCGTTTCTACGCACGGCTTTTCGCGGCGTGCAACGGCGTGCGAGTGGTCGACGACGCGCCCGACTGAGTGTTTTCCTCCCCTTTTTTTTTTAATTCTTTTACTGAATTTCCGCTGTGCGATGGAATAAGAGACTCCTCCGTGAAAATTCCGACGGAAAATTCCACGACGCATAGTGCGTTTCCCGCCGAGCCAGCCTCGCCTCGCCTCGCCGTTGGGTATCCTGACGCGTTTGTGTTCAAGACACGCGTCGCAAAAGCACGCGATCGTCTTGACGTGGCTCGCCAGACATCCCGTGAAATTTTTACACGCGTGTACTCCACGACGTAACGTCGTCATTGTCAGCGACGCGTCTTTCTCGCTATCGCCTCAAATCGTCGAGGTGATAAGCGTTAACATTCGTTAAACTTTCGTTATTTTCCCTGAGGCGGATCCCACATCTTCTGTTTATTGTTATCGGATGTCCCTAATCTGGTGCTTTCTCATTAGTACGTATTTTACAAGTGTAATTTATCCCTGTCCACCAAAATTTTTATATCTAATTCCTCGGAAGTGGCAATCGACAAAACTTTAGTAGCAGTTTGATCAGTTTTAATTTAACACAAGTTTAGATTTTTTTTTTGCAAATACTGAGCTTTGTTCATCTCTAAATATATCAGTAATAAAGATACTCATTACACTGGCTTTGTTTTTACAGGATGAATTTGTCGAGTTAATTCACAAGTCTGAAAAGAAACTAGTACATTTTACGTACCTATAGATTTTATAATAACAATGTATGAGAATTATATTTAAGTAGATATTTAAGTAATTCAAATCACAGAATTATAGTAAGAAAAATATAGGAGTAGTCAATATAAGCTGGAGATTTAAAGATTATTTTTATAATATTTAGAAATATAATTCAATTTTTGGTACTGTTTGTTCTTAAAAGTTATAATAATTGCTTTGCTTGGCAAGGTTCTTATTGTATGATCAGATTGTAACATATTCCTGTGGTCTTTGTTTCTTTGTTAATAATTGGTCTGTTTTCTGTTCCTGCACTAGACTGCTCTAGAACTCTCTTTCTCGCTTTAAATAAATATCAAACGTATATTTATCCCACTTTAAGTTCCAAAAGTATACACTAGTTCAGCCACAGAGAACAGACCTAATGCTTCTAAAAGTACTGTATGATCAAATGATTTGTATTATTGGAAATCAATTATAATTTTATTTTTATAAATAATAAATTATTGTATTATTATAACAACAAATGTATTCTGTTTCAGACTGTAAATAGGGAGTGTATATAGTGTGATACGGTGAGTGCTTAGGTGCGTGGGATTTTAGTTGGCAATGAGTTCAAGCAACAAATCCTTGGTGTCCTCTGGTGGAAGAGGCACCAATAAAAATAAATCACAACAACATGGCAAATCTGATCATCATCATCAAACTAAATCATCAGATTCGACCAAGCATGACAAGGCTCAGGTTGGTCTGAAACAAATTTATTTTTATGTCGACATATTTATTAGTTTGATAAATACGTTCCCAAAATGGATTACAGTCTCATACAACAATAATGTATATTCTTTTAAAAACTTTTAACCAAATAATATCATTTATAAAACAAAATACATGGGATATGTGAGATTATGAATTACAAGTCAATTGTTTTTACATAATCATATCATATCACATTATTGTAATCTAAATCTATAATGAAAATACAAATATTGATTCCTATAAGCAAATACATATTTTTAACATGATAGATTATTGTTTTATTTTTGATATAATATTTATTTTGTAATATTTATGAGG